CTGTCCATATCTAATATGTCACTCTTGGCATTAGCATTTGGACTATAAATTAGGAACTCATAACCCAAGTCATTTGTTCTTTCATTCTGTGCCTGAGCACAGAACTGAAGTTTAGCAAAGTGACTATTATTTCTCTTTGTCTTTAAATAAACGCAAGTATTAATGCTTTGTTTTCTTCTGAGCGATTTTGAGATAGACAAAAAGATCAAAGGTAGAATGAAGGGAAGTTAAACTTAAGCTTCTCTGCCTCTAGACTCAGTTTGGTAAATTTAGATACATTTTGGCTTTCAGGTAGGAACAATTTTCATATCTGTGTTTGGCATGTCTCATTTAATTACAAATTAAAAAAATACCTTAAATTGTTGCAAAAAGGAATTTTGGCGTACCTCACATGTTCAAAGGAAGGGAGACAGTGCAATTGGGCCTCTGGAAATAATGGAACCTTGGACTTTAATGTCATCTGGGCTCTCTGTCTTGCTCTATACTTCATCTCTTTGTTTCAGATGTCACAATACCTGGCACATAGTAGATCACTTAGCAAATGTTTTTTAATAATGAGTAAATATTAACCAAAAAAGTTCTAGAAAACTCAAAGTAAAGTAATTCTATTAATCTTTTTTAGATAACTTTCTGAGCTAGCAATGTTTCCTTTTATGAACCTACTAATTAGCAATACTTTGCCTTTTAATGACAAGTCTAATACCATAGGGTCTCATAATTAACAGCTACTAGCTGTGAGCTACCAAGGCTTTCAACTTCATAGTGTGAAACCCAGTTTCTATACAATTATATTTGACTCCATTACCGACCTTCAGTCTATTCTAATTCTTCACCAAAATCATATACCTTGTGGTTTCCATAGTGTTCTGCAGGCATTCTTTGGAGGTAATGACATAGCTGGTGTACCTTTGAAATAGCTTAAGAAATGTTAGAGACTTTCCTTCTTGTATTGCAAGACAACAGGAACACCGTGTACATGATGGTTAGAAATAGCATGATGGCCATGCATACCAAACACCATGCCTGCATTTCTCACAGGAAATAACAACCGAAATAGAACTGCTTCCTTTGATGAGAAAAACTTCTTTGGGGAAAGGGGGAGTGCAAATACAATTGGCTGCTAAATGTGTCCCTTCCTGCTGTTGGTCAGAGCCTAAATGAGGGGGGTGAGAGTTTCTGTGAATTACTAATAGTTTATTTTACTGAGAAAATGTTTCTGGTTATTTCAGGGAAGCAATAAAGATTTGGGGCCTAGTCTCAGTTGTAATTATATACGCTCCAATGTTTTTGCATCTTTATTGGATTTTTTTATTGTAATTGAATATTGAAAACAGTTTATAATCTCCCAGTTTTTATTAATCAGTTGTGAACCATAACTGGACGCTGGGTTCAATCCTCAATCTGTGAGATTCCCTGGACCTTTTTACTTTTACTCATGTTTGAAGATAGCTAGGCCTGGAGCATTCTCTCCTGCTTCCCCATAAACCTCTGGATCTCTTTGCTAGGAAATTAGGATTTAACAAAATTCAAGGTAGATCCAGGATTTTATGCCCAAGTCTTTGTGTTTGATTCTCAAAACAGAGCCTTAAGCAAATTCTGAGTCTGAAAAATAATTTTAAACATTTTTTATGGTCAAGAAAAAGTTCTAAACTCTGTGCCTATGAAGGGTCTACTTGTAATTGTGTGTATTGGTTTTGTCTTTTGGATGCACAAATGTATCAGATATTTGATACAAGACTGCACCTTCTCTCAAAAATTCATTCAAGACTAGATTTAGACTAGCTACTCTGCTTTTGGATGGGAAACCATTATTCTCGGTTCTGATCACTTACCTTTGTTTGTCATTACCACCAAAAGTCTTCAAAAAATTTCTTGCAGTGATGGTTATTAACAGCAATATATTAATTAATTAACTAATTAATCTATCATATGTTGTCACTCATGTACCACACTATACATTGTTTGGTATAAATTTATGTTAGGAATGTGTCCATACAGTTTGCCACCTTGCAGAAAAAGGAAAAATATTGACTATGTACAGAATTTCATAACCCCTAGGTTCTGAGCTGGAACATTAGTATTACAGTGTGGAAGGCCAGTTACAAAATCCTCTTCCAGTTCATGATTAATGTCTTCATAAAAACGTTCTATATCATTGTTTCAAGTTCCTTAATATACACATTTGACAAAAATGTAGCATATAGTTTGCTTCAAAAGATTGAAGTTTATCAAAGTCTTTCTTTTTTTTAATTAATAACTTTGTTGAGCTATAATTGACATATAAAAAACTGCATATTTAAAGTTTACAGTTTGATAATTTTTGATATTTTTATACACCTACAAAACCATCACCACAATCAAGATAATACATCTGTGATCCTCAAAGTGTCCTCAGACTCCTTGGTAATGCCTCTCTCTGGCCTCTTCTCACCCTCCCCTCCCACCCCTAGGAATCTGCTTCCTGTTATGCTATATTGCTTGCATTTTATACAGCTTTTTATAAATGGAACCACACAGTATATATTCTTTGGAGTCTGGCTTCTTTCATGCAACATCTTTATTTTGAGGTCTTCTGTGTTGTTATGTATGTCCCTGATACACTCCCTTTTATTGCTAAGAAGCATTGGAAAGTACTTTACTCTCTGAAAACATATACTTATGCCCCCAAACAAACAAACTGACCTCAGTATTTTTATTTTGTAAGTCTTTTTAGAAGATCTTTTTGCTTTTAAAATTTTTAATCTTTATGAAATATTATCTATTATCTGAAATTAATCCATGTCTTTAGTTTCATTTGTTATTTGTTGTTAAATTCTAGTAAAATTGAAGTTAATTTTGTTTTAAAATTTTAATAGTCCATGTTTCCTAATTGTCAGTTATTTACCACTTCTTCAGCCTTTATGTTACCCATCAGTATGTCAGGTCACCTGAAGGTACATGGCAGATCCTCAGGAGTACTCTGCTATCTAACTTTCAGAGTTGGAGAACCCAACATCATAAGGAAATGACTTTTCATATGACCTATTTATATATAAAGGAGCCTTTGCAGAGAACCAAGCAAACAGAAAGGTCCTTCTCATCCCATTTTTCAGTAGTTTGATGGCTGTTTGTATAGTCAGCATAGGCTTCTCTGCCTGACACATTGGTTGTCTCAGAAATTCCCCCTTTAAACTGGGCCAGCTCACTTGGGTATCTGGCTTGAGTTAGTACTAAAAAGCAAGCCACAGACAATGTGTATCCTAAGCAATGATCATCCCCTTTTATAAGTTAAAACCACTTAGTTTGTCTCATGTTAGTTGTTCTTTTAGTCCTAAATTTTCAGCTCAACTGTGGTACCTGCTTCCTGACCTGTTGGTTTAAGAATGTAAATTGGACTTCCCTTTTTGGCTTGCTTGTTGAATTTTGGCTCTGTTTATTCCCTAATTTAGTGTCTCTCACTGTCTTGAGTAAAAAACTACATCTGCAGCTTTAATATTGAGCAAAGCACAAATAAGCAGACCCTGTCTCTCCCATCTTCTTTTATCTCAGCTTGGAGACAGGTGGATCAAGGATGAATCCAAGAAGCAGAGTTTTCTGGATTATAGCAAACCACTTAGCAGAAGTAGAAAGTAGAATAACCTTCCCTTTTAGCTTTCAGATGATAGCATTTTCTGGGTCCAGATTCTGCTATGTGACTAATTCTAGCAATCCTGAGTGTTTATGCTACCCTGAAGTACTATCCATGTTGTTATCCCTTCCTCTTTTCTTAGAACAACTCCTTTGGACAGATCATCCCCATGACATGCTTGAATATCTATAAATACGTCTTTTTCCCCTACCTAGAGAAATGAAATGATACTTGGTAGCTTCTATGAATTCATGCAGACTTTTCATATGACCATTTCTAAAAATCCTTTTCCCCTAGCTTACAAATTATGCTGTGGTCCCTAAAATTGCGGACCTTGTAGTCAAGGTCTCAGTGGGTCTACCTCTTGTATTAGGAGGATGCTCTCTTATCTGAAGTCTTCCGAGTGTCTATCCAGTTCTATCCACATAGGTCCTATCTCCTGATAGTCTCATTGCACAGTCACTTAACTGTTGAGTTCTATCATAATAGTTAATGGCAATGAAGAAATGGCATTTATATCCTTTTAGTTTTGTTTTTCTGAAGATCTTGACAAGTGTTTGGGTTTCATCTCTCCTTTCCCAGCTAATATAACCCTCAAAAGGTATGTTCACACTGTGATTTTGAGAATTGGTAAGAACTGACAATATTTGACAAAATTACTCACATGATGAGATCATGATAAGGGGTTTCTAGTTCCTTCTTCAAAGGTACTCAAGTCATTTCACAAACTATAGGAAGTCTCATCTTATTCCTCTTTGTGTCCTAGAATATTTACGTCGTCAGATTCTGTAGCAGAGATTTAGCAGAGAGATCACTTTAAAAATAATACTGTTCCCTATAAAATGACAAAAGAGTGAATTATATAAAAGTTCACTTTTCTCTACCTTTCTAAGACCTAAGTGTTCTTATTGCCAATCCAAATTTTAATTTTACTCCAATCTCTTATGCTTAAATTTTCTGTACTGCAGAAGGTCTCCTCATCCTGAATCAGACTTCCTGGCCTTTCTGTGATTGACCTAGAGCATGTTCTTTGCAAGACAGGAGATTCTGAATAAAGACAGGACTGATGAATATGAACTGTGCAGGATTTTTTTCCCAAGGGGCTATGGAGAAAACTTACTGTAGGCATAACAACAGATCTAAAACAGTGGTTTGTGCCAGGGATGGAGTTTCATCAATGGATAAGGTACATCATATGTGAACAGTTGGTGAGTCTACTTTTGTTTTAATCTTAGGTTTTTAGAATGTCCTAACTTTTTTTTCTTCGAAGCTGGTTCTTTGGATAATAGCTTTGACTTCAGTTTAGCCTTGTAATTGCCTAGGCTTTAGCTACCATGACCTAATTTCTAACATTGAAAGGTTATGTTTAAAAAAATTTTTTTTTTCCTTTTAGATCGATTTTTCCTGTCCACCCCTCCTTCAGAATCATCGCCTTGGCAGAACCCCCTGTTGCTGGAAGCACAACACAGCAGTGGCTGGGACCAGAATTCTTAACCATGTTCTTTTTCCATTACATGAAACCACTTGTCAAAAGCGAAGAAATGCAAGTGATTAAGGAAATGGTAAGAGCGAGGCCAGCTCTAGCCTGCTGCCTTCAGCTGTTCTCTTTTTGAGGCATTCTTGACACTTGCTGGAGCACAGTTCGATACTTTTGGGTTTTTCTCTCCATTCCTACGTTTCCTCATCAAATGGCTTTCAGACATCAGTATTTTTTTCAGAATCATCGGGAGGGCTTGGTAAAATACAGATTGCTGAGTCGGAGGTTCTGGGATGGTACGTGAGAATTTGCTCAGGTGATACTGGTGCTGCTGGTCTGGGGACCACACTTTGAAAACCATGAATGCAGGCTGTCTGTCCTTTTTCCTCATGTGGAGGCAGTTTTGGGATTCCCTTTCCTTTCACATTCAGCCAAAGGTGATTTTTTTTTTTACAGTTCCCACTGTAAGGGGAGGCTAAATATATTTTCGTTACTTAGATTTTGTAGAAAATACTAAGTAACCCTGGTCCCCTCCGGAGTGCAGTGTGTCCTGCACTTAACTGATTAGTGTTCTGGCGGCTTGTCGTGTATGTAATCTGTTATTTCAGGGTCCACCTTAGTCAAGCATTGTGTTCAGCACTTTGGTGTTCTAGAGCTGCACTGTGCATATAGCAGCACTAGTCACACTAAATACAATTTTAAAATTCAGGTTTATTGTCATATTTCCCACTGTCAACAGCATAGATGGACAGTTGCATCAGCATAGAAAGTTCTATTGGACGATACTACCCTAGATCACCAATAATGAGCTTTGTACATAAATGTACTCTTCCCCTTTGAAATATCAGAATGAACTGATTAATTTTAGGTCTTGTGAGTATGGTTGTGGGTAAAGGCGTAGACTTTACAGTCAAACAACTTACCTTTAAATGTCAGATCCACTACTTATAAGCTTCTAGATCTTAGGAAAATTACTCAACTGTAGTTTATCCATCTGAAGATGGGATAGTACTACCCCTTATATCACAGAATTGATTTAAGGAACAAATGAGATAAAGTAGGTACTGAACAGAGCTTCGAATTTTAAGTTCCAGTTGCTTAAATGACCAAAAAAACCCTGAGCAGTTTATTTCTGAAATAGTCACGATATACCAGTCATTGTTCTAACCTCTCCTTCTACTCTTTTTAAATTAAAAATTTTAGTTTGTTATTGTTTAGATAAAAATTTCTTATAATCCAATTTAAATACATATTTAATTATATTAAAATTGGTATAGTTAAAAGCAATCATATTTGTCTTGGGGCAACTGTTCTTCAGAGTTCATTGATAAATAGACCATGCCCCTCAGGTATGTGGTTTTAAAGTCCTTGAAAAAAATGGGCCACTTGAGCATCCATCCTTCACACAAGGACACCTTATGTCACTTAGTAGATACAGATAGAAGATTACTACCTGATGAAGGGGTTTGGTTTCAGTAAGAAAAATGCCTAGATTAGAGTTGACGCTAACAAAAAAGGATAGAATATATGAAAAGTTACTTACAGGTACACTCTATGCCCATTTTTAATTGAGTTAGAGGCTCCTTTCAGTTTTATGCCAGTGACGGAATTGTAAATGAAGAGTGGCCTGGCTTTAATTACCTGATTCTCAAAGAGAAAACAGAAGCAGAAGTGTTTCCCAAGAAGATGAATGAGCAAATTTATCCGCATGTTAAACATAATACCTATAATCAGAGACTTTCTAAAAATATCATTCTAATATTGTTTGATAAATAGCTGTAATTTCTGGCTGATTGATCAGATATCCCAATTTATTCTTTCTCTCCTTAATTTTCTCATAAACTAGGTCCCAAATATACCTCAGGAAGCTTTGGACAAATTGTTATCATTTACACACAAACTCAGAGAGACGCAGGATCCAACAGTAAGTCTGGGCTTTTTCCTACAGGATTTTCTGTCGTTGACGTTCTGCGGCTTTATGTTCTCAGAGTTCAGTGCTTTAACATTTATTTTTTAAACAGGTGTTCTTATCCCTTATGCTTTGCTTTATCTTGTGTATGTATTTTACTCCTTCAGTGATTTTTTATCGTTTCTTCTAGCTTCTCGTGGTTGCTGTCACAGAAAACAACTTTCAGCTTTAGAGGGGTGCCTGGCTATTCTTGAGGATGTGGCTCTATTCTGTGTCCTTTGCTGAACAATCTCGTCTGTTCTTACGGCTTCAAGCATCACCTCTATGTTAATGCCTACAGCTTTATTTCAGCTTCTAACTTCTCATTCCTCGTCGATTCTCTAATTGTATTTACCTTCTGGAATGGTATCAGGGCAGAAAGCCTTTCCCTTCTTCCCTTCTAGGTCTTTTGACTGGCCTAATAATTAAACTGACATGAGACAGAATAAGAGGAGAAAAACAAATAAACAAATTTAATTCTGTACTTAACAGAAGCCCCATAAAAATATGAAACTCCAAACAGTAACCAAAGCAGGCAGCTTTTGTACCTTTTAGTCAGAGAAATGATAAAATTATAAGAAATTAACAAGACAAAGAAGTTTGAACTTAGGGTAGTAATTAAGTGAAGAAGTAACCAGGTTTGTTTCTATAGCCTTCTTGGCCCTAAATTTCCTATTTCTGGTGATAAGGATGCCTTCTGCCCTCCTGGTACAGTGAGGGTACCTTCTTCATGGGAGATTTAGTTCCTCCTTTCAGGGAACAAGGGAAGGTCAGAGTGTCCTTGTACCAGCTATTTAAGTCACTTTAATTCAAAATAATCAACATGCCCAAATGGCATATTTTGGGGTGGCATATTTCTGCCCACCTCACCTTTTAAAAATTTTCTTGCTTAACTTTTATTTCAGCATTCAGTTAAAACATTTCCAAATTGTAACAAAAATTTCCCCCTGTTTTCGAAAAGTCCATTATGCTCAATATAATTGAAACTCTATCAGGGATGAGATGAAAAGTTACTTTTCAATCTGAGGTCTTTAAGAAATAGTTAATACTTTAAAGAGCCCAAGGCAAATTATATATTTGCCCACAAAAGGGATAAAAAGACCAATGCAAATGTTAAGTTATTTTCGTTGGGCTGGAATTTTAATATCTAAGATGAGTTATTCTGTGCCAATCAGAATCATGATTGTAATACATGCATGGTTATACCTGCCTTTGAATAGCAAAAAATAAAGAGCTAGTTATGCTTTAATAAATACAATTTTGTAAAGAAAATCTTAAAAATACAAGTCAAAACAAACAAACCAAAAAAAACCCAAAAGAAAGAAACAAACAAAAACACTGGGCACCAGGGAATTAAAAAGGAGGGCCATTATGTTTAAGAAATTGGAAACCCCTGCATATGTTGGAAAGATCAAAGGCTGTCACTAACTCTGAGTCTCAGTGTTCTCATCGGTAAAGTGGGAAGGGTTATCTACCTCTTAAGGAGGTTGCAATGATTAAACATGAAAATATATGTGAAGAATCTCCTCCTTAGTAGTTGCTTAAATTTTTTCCACTTCTCGACTCTGGGATCCCTGTAACTGTACTCCTATCCTTACTTAGTTTCCTGACTTTGTTAATTATCTGTCTACCAAATTACCTAAAGTAGAAACCTTGATGTCATCATGGATTCTTTGCTTTCCCACTATCTCCACTTAATCTGAAAGCAAATCTCATCAATTTAACATTTGATGTCTCATCTATTCTCTTAACTATTGTCAATCATTGCGCTAGTATTGGATTTCATAATCTTTCTCCTGGAATATTGTTTCCTTTTGACTGCCCTCTTCAACAAGAGTTCATTCCTCAAACAGCCCTGTACATATGGCTGTTGTAACAAAATTACCATAAACTGGTGGGTTATGACAACAGAAATTTCTTTTCTCATGGTTCTGGAAGCCAGAAGTTTGCAATGGGTATCACTGAGCTGAAATCAAGGTGTCAGCAGGGTCACACTCCTAGGGGCTCAATGGGAGAATCCATCCCTTGCCACTTCCGGTTTCTAGTGGCTGCCAGCATTCCTTGACTTTTGACTTCATTGCTTCAGTCTCTGCCTTCATCTTTATATCACCTTCTCTTCTGTGTTTCTGTGTTAAATCTCTCTCTGACTCCCTTTTACAAGGATACATATGACTTCGTTTAGGGACCGGGCCACCTAAATAATCCAGGATGATCTCCACATCTCAGAATCTTTACTCTGATGTTATATGCAAAGTCCCTTCGCCATAGGAGGCAAAATTCGCAGGTTGTAGGGATTAGGATGTGGATATCCTTAGGAGGGACCATTTTCCAGCTGTCACAGCCCTCCTCTGCGACCAGTTACCTCTGGGACCTCATCTCCAGTTACTTTCCCCTTACTCATTTTTTTCAGCTACACCATTCTCTTTGTTGATCCTTGAACCCACAAGTGTCTGCCTCAGAGCCCTTGCCACTTGGTGTTTCCTCAGCCCAGGAAGCTGCACATTTGCTCCCTCGCATGATTTGCTCAGATGTCACCTTTTCAGTGAGGTCTTCCTGAAGCACTCTAGCATCACATTTCCTCCCTGTTTCATTCTCTCTTTCTGCTTTAAAGAGCTTCATGACGCTTATCACCCTTTGACATAATATATGTTTTACTCACTTATTTTTTATTGTCTATTTTCCCTCACTCAGACTTTAGTTCCAGGATGGCAGGGTTTTTTTTTTTTTAACATTTTTTATTGATTTATAATCATTTTACAATGTTGTGTCAAATTCCAGTGTAGAGCACAATTTTTCAATTATACATGAACATGTATATATATTCATTGTCACATTCCTTTCTCTGTGAGCTACCATAAGACCTTGTATATATTTCCCTGTGCTATACAGTATAATCTTGTTTATCTATTCTACAATTTTGAAATCCCAGTCTCTCTTCCCACCCCCCACCCCTTGGCAACCACAAGTCTGTATTCTATGTCTATGAGTCTATTTCTGTTCTGTATTTATGCTTTTTTTTTTTTAGATTCCACTATGACGATCTCATATGGTATTTTTCTTTCTCTTTCTGGCTTACTTCATTTAGAATGACATTCTCCAGGAGCATCCATGTTGCTGCAAATGGCGTTATGTTGTCGGTTTTTATGGCTGAGTAGTAGTCCACTGTATAAATATACCACTCTTCTTTATCCAGTCACCTGTTGATGGACATTTAGGCTGTTTCCATGTCTTGGCTATTGTCAATAGTGCTGCTATGAACATTGGGGTGCAGGTGTCATTTTGAAGTAGGGTTCCTTCTGTATATAAGCCCAGGAGTGGGATTCCTGGGTCATATGGTAAGTCTATTTCTAGTCTTTTGAGGAATCTCCATACTGTTTTCCACAGTGGCTGTACCAAACTGCATTCCCACCAGCAGTGGAGGGGGATTCCCTTTTCTCCACATCCTCTCCAGCATTTGTCATTTGTGAACTTTTGAATGATGTTTAGTTCCAGGATGGCAGGGGTTTTTGTTTTAGTCCCTGCTTTATTCCCAGCATCTGAAACTTTACCTCCTATGTAATAGAGTATTCAATAAATATCTGTTAAAGAAATAAATGAATAACCCTTGCATGCTGTCCCTGGAGTGATCATTTCCAGATCCAGTTCCTGAGTTCTTCCCCTTCTTTACAACTGTCCAGGGATGGGTCCTCTTGGCCTATTGACTGAAAGACGACCTACCCAGTGTGCCCACGGAGTTCCTTCTGACCTTAAGCTGCTCTTCCAGCTTCATTTCCTACAGTCTCTCTTGAAGCACCCTCAGCTCTCCCACACTTCCCTTCCTGCTGTTTCCAAATGCCTCTGCTCTGGATAGATGATGCCCGGAACGTGCTTTCTCCCTGTCCACTGTCACTCAGGTCCCTGTTCTGGCTGTTCTCCCTCATGCCCCAAAGCAGAAGTAAACTTTATTGCCAGTCTGCTCTCTTGACACTTGGCATATGCTTCTGACATTGACGTATTGCAGCTCTGTCACAGTTTATTTGTCTCACCAATGAGTATTTGAACTCCCTGAAGCTGATGTTGTTCATTCTTTTATTCCCATTTCCCATCCTGGTGCCTGCCCGGCATATAGTAGAAACTTAATAAACGTTTGATGAAATTGATTAATTAATTAATTACTAACTTATTAACAGATCATCCCTAGGGTTTTCTCTCCCTGGGAACATTACATTTTCATAAAAGAAATGATTCTTTAAGAGGAAAAAAAAGAAAATTTATTTTTAATAATTTTTATCAGACCCTTCAAATTTTAAGCTGAGTTGCTATTATTAATTATGTTAATCCTTGAGGTGTGCTCTTTAAACTGAATAACCATGGCAACTAAGAGAATGTGCTCACATCCTCATCCTTTGTTTTTGCTAGATAAAACTGAAGTTAGAAATTTGATATTTTAAATGTTCAGTACATTAGGATTTTTAAATTAAATTACATTCTCAGTTTTTAATTGATGTTAACATGAGAGCAGAAATAGCCAAACCCTTGTTTCAGCACTTAAATGCTCAGCCTATAATGTCTTTTCTGATTTAACACTGGATATTACTGCAAAGCATTGTGATGTTATCAGCTGATTTGATATTTTTCAAATTCATGAGAAGTCCTTACTGATCATTGGAGTGAAATGGGAAGGCTGAATTCAGAGTCATGCTTAGAATGAGATTAGAATATTGTAACCTAGAAAGTTACCATACAGTTTAATAGGACTCTTGTCGTAAGAATCCTTTGGTTGGAGTCATTTGTCAAACATTTTCCGTGATTAAAATAGGAATGTTTCTTGGTCTCAAGCATTAAGGATGGGAATTGCTGAATCATATTTAATTTCTGATACTTTCAGTCATACTGGTTGAAACAATCTTATCTTCAACCCGTCCTGCTTTCTCATATCCGTCCTTCTTTCTCATATCCATCAGCTACCATGCCTTTTGAAACATTTATTTGATCCATTCTTATTGCCAATAACCTTACTGTAGGACTTTATCTTTGTATAGACAGGTAATTGAAGTAGCTCTGTGTTTCCTGTCTCAGTTCTCTCTGACCTTCAACTACTTTACATACTACTGCCAAGTTAGTCTTTCTGAAATCTTGTCACTGCTTTGCACATAACAAAATCCTATTGCCATTAGAAGAAAGGCCAAGCGCCTCACAGGGTGACTCACAGGTCTTTGTTATTTGGGAGCAAGCTTTCCAGCAGGACCCTCTAATAAAGCTGGGCTGGTTTCCTCACATTCTGCATGTATTTCTGTTCCTGTTGCTTTCATGCCTTTGTTCATAGCATTCCTCCTGCCCACTTGAACATTTTAAGCCCCTCTAGCAGTTGTCAAGTGCTCCACTTATTTTGGCATTAAATTATATGCTATTTTGAATTGCATTTTGTGCTTTCTTATATTTAAATATTGTCTCCATGTCTAGAATGCAAATTTGTTGAAAAAGTATGAACCAAATGTTTGCTTATGAGTTCTTTGAAACTTAGAGTGTGTTTTTCAGTAGAAAAAAGGGTATGCCATAAAAGGTGTTCCTGCTCCTAACCTAGTCCCCAAAGGACTCTTTAGCCCATGTTGTAGCTGAAATATAACACTAATGACAGCAGACCAGCATCTCTTGGAGCTGTGAAATACATGAGGAAGGAGAAATCAATTCATTTTTTTCTTCCTTGGGACATGCAGAGATGACCTTAAGTGAAGTGTTAAGAGGAGTAAGTATGCAGTGTAGCTTTGACATCCTCCCACCATCCGTTCCCAACCCTTTGTTAATTTCATAATGTCCCCTTCTCCATTTCCTCAGGTGCTCAGGCCACTTTACTGCTCTTTCACACTCTGTGACATTTCACCCTGGCCTCTTCTGCCCTCCCAATGGGCTGGTTATTTCAAGTTCTTCTCTTCTCTCGTTTTTCAGTGAAAGTCACTATCTTCTAATGTTGCTAAGTTAGGAATTAGGTGAGTGAAGGCATCATTATTGCCATTTTAAAGATGAGGAAGCCAGGGCTTAAAGAGATTAAGTAATTTGCCAAGGACACAGCTAATCAATGGAAGGCTGGTTTGTCTGACTCGGGAGCTTATAAACTTTACAATTACATTATGCTGCCTACTGAGATAATTTCATACTCAAGTCAACAAATATTTATTGGCACTTACCATGTCCTGAGTTCTATTAATGGGATTTGGGGAAGATTAAGAACACAAAGTGAAATTATTCTTATAGTGTAGGGGAAGGATTCCATACTGTAAACTGCCACCTAAGTGACAACTGGTGGGCATCTCTGGTCAGCAGCTTAAATTGTCCACAACTTCTTTTTTCTGTTTCAGAAGACATAAATTTACTTAAAGCCCTAAGCATTTTCTCACTATCTTAACAATTTGGCTTTGCGTAAACAGGAAAAAGAATGAACAAATAGTTAATTATACACAAGGACTATTTGTCAGATGCAAAGATCACGCAATATCTTTCCTCCATCCACCTCCATGACCCTCCCCCCCTACGAAAATGTATACACAGAACTTTAATTGAATTTAATTAATAGACATGTTTCTATGATTTTTTTAAAACTGTCTTTAAGGATGTTTTAAGTGTAAATCGGTTTCTGTTTGTTTTATTTGTAATTCATTAACAGTACTTACTTGTTTTAAGTTTGGCCTTGTCCTTCTGGAATAAAGAATTCTATTCTGATACCCATCCAAAGGGACTTTCAACAAGTTGAAACAGGACTTGTAACAGCCTGTTTTTGCCGTTTGACAGGCACAGTCGTTGGCAGCATCGCTTTCTACCAGACAGCTGTTGAGGATTTCTCGTCGGCTGTCACAGTACCCTAATGAAAATCTTCACAGTGCTGTCACTAAAGCCTGCCTTTCCAGGTAACCGTATTGTCTTCTCTCGCTGAATTCAAGTTTCTGGGTCTTTGCTAAAACAGTAATGTAAGTTTGATAGTCTGTACTCAGAGGTCTGGAAAAAATATCAGTCTGAATATGTAGCTGTTTCAACCTTGTGTTCAGTCTTTAGAATATATGTAATCTTCCTTAGGCATAACAAGAAATTGAAGAGGCTTTGATAGATGAGGAAACTCTTAAGTCACTGAAGTCAGACAGTAGCAAACAAGTGAAAGTAGGCGTGATATTTGAATGCTGGTTCGTGTGTCTTCTGAACAAGTCTCTCAAGCATTATACTTGGCACCTTCCAAATTTACACTGGAATTTTCCATGCTTGGTACTACTGTCTTATTGCCTAAATTTAACAAAACTAATATGTTTTTCAGTCTACACTAATATTTTTCATACTTGTTTGGAAATTATTATAAAACAATGGCTTAATGGAATTTCCTTACAAATTCATACTTGCATGAAACTGTACTAAAAGAATAATAAGAAAAGAATAATAACAGTATCCATTTCTCAGAGGTTTTTTTAGACTCTTTTCTTATGGTCTGATAATTATTTTTATGGTGCTTATGACTTTTGTCCATTCATTCCTTGATATATTAAAGAGATTAAAAGTCTATTTTCAGCTTTGGAGAATCTCTAACTGCCCTCTATAAATTTTCAGTTTAGTGAACAATTTTTCTTGTAGTTAAAGTTAGCTCCTTGTGTTGCAACTTGAATTTTTCTGTCTGGTGAAATGAGGCTAAAATGAGGCTCGTTTTCATTGTCTTTAGTGTAAATCTTTGAATAACTGATAATTATGAGAAGTAATCAAATTGATTCTCCTTTTTTAAGTAGACTAATATTAGACTTCCAAATGAAAATTTGAAAAAAGTGCTTCAGTTCCCTATTTTTAAGGATCAAATACTGAAGAAAATATGTGCAGAGTGATAAATTCATTATGTACCCAGTGTTTTCTTAGTCACAGCTTGGTTATAGGTATGTGTTAATAGAAGTAAATAGTCAACGCTAAACAATATACACTGTTTTGGATCCTAAGGGAAAATAATACTTTGGAATGAAGGCAATAATCATACCCAAAGCATTCTAGAGAAGAGACAAACAATGAAAACACAGCAAATCTTGATAACTAAGCCAGACAAAAATAATGTGTGAAAGGAAAATTATAAATCAAATTCTTGGAATAGATATGAAAATCATAAATGAACTACTAACAAACCAAATGTAACTATACATATATATATATTTAAATCATATGCAATTTGGAATTATCTCGAGTGTGAACAAAGTTCAATATTCTTTTTTAAAATTTACCATATTAACATATTAGTGTGAAAAAAAATCATTGCAATAAATTACTAAAAAAGATTTGATAAAACCCAACAGGCAAACTTAAAAACAAATCAAAACAAAAATAAGCAAACAGTATTCTTAGTAAACCATTAATAGAAGGGAAATTCTTTAATCTGATAAAGGATATCTACTAAAAATTTATATAAAACATTCTTATGGTAAAATACTTGGCACATTTAGAGTTAGGAACAAAATAAGAATGTCAGCTTTCTGTACTTTAATCCCAAGGTTATGTGATTGGCTACATAAAAAATTCAAGAGAAACTACATATGAACTACATATACAAATAGGGTACAGTGAGACTACGTATGCATCCAAATCAATGATATTTCTATATTCCAGTAACAGTCAATGGGGAAATCTAATTTTAAAAAATACTACCATTCAAAATAATAGAAGAAAGCTTTGAGCACTTAAGAATAAATCTAATGAGTGACATGAGTGACATAAAAGGCTTTTATGGAGAAAAGCATAAATCTTTATTGAAAGCTGTAAAATGCTTAAATAAATGAGAAGCTATACAATGTTCATGGAAGGGAAGATTAAGTATTATCAAGCTGCTTGTTTTCCCCAAATTAATAGTAAATACAATATATAATTGATGAAGTGTATATATATATGTGTATATATATTTATATATGTGTATGTGTATGTATATATATGTATATATTTATCAGTTATCCAGCTTGTTCTGCTCTGTGGAACAAACACTCTACGAAAACAAAGTTAAGTAACTAGGGACCCTCAAACACTGTAGTCAGGCTAAAATAATGTAGTCAAGCTAGATCAAGCAAGTGGGACCCTTACACAATGTGGTCATACAGATTATAACTAATCAGATCTTTCTGTTCCTTCAAGGTGGCTTTTTGATTTTAAAAAAGTCTCTAGTTAATGAGTCTGAGTTTTGGGTCCTTAGTTCCCTGCCTCCCTCAGTTATAGTGAATTTGACAAGCTGATCTTAAAACTGGCATGGAAATATAACAGGCCAATAATAGCTAAATAAATTTTGAGGAAGATTTAGGAGCTGTACTTTCTCTATCAGATATCATGATTCATTATAAAGTTAGATTTATTTTAAGTGTGATATTGGTGCAAGAAAAGATAAATAGGCTATTAGAAGAGACTACAGAGCCCTGAAACAGACCCACATATTTCTGAGAACTTAGTAAATGTTAGAGGTAGCATTATAAATCAGTATGGGAATGGTTTGACTTGTCAATATATGGTTAAAAATAAAAAAAATCTACTCTGTCCCATACAAAAGTATAAAATCAAGATACACAATAAAAACACTATAAACCACTCTACAAGTTATAAGTCACAAACTAAGATATGTTTACAAGATTTATAATCACAAAGGCATTGATATTCATGAATGATAAAGTATCCAAATTAATGAGCTAAAAGCATCACCCCTAAATGGGAAAAGGATTAAGAGATATTCACAGAAAAGTTAATTCAGATGACCATCAAACGTTTGAAAAGATGCTCAACTTTATTATTGATCAGGGAAATGAAATTTAAAACAATAATCAGCTATCATTTTATACTTGTACAATTTTTACCTATAAAAAGTAACATTTTTCATGAGCAGAAGGAAATGGAATTTCATTAATGCTGTTGGGATGGCCATCAGGTTGGAGTTGATCTCACAGTATCTTGGTCCCTTAATATATTAATACCCTATGAATTAACAGTTCTACTTCTTGGTATCACCTTAAAGGTAGACTTATATGTATGCAATAAGGAGGCCTGTAGAAGACTGTTTATTACATCGTTGTTTGTAAGAATGAAAGTTGGAAATAGCCTATCAGTCCATCATTAGGGAATGAATATATACATTGACATATTCATATAATGAAGTGCTATACATCAGTTAAAATGAAGTAGATCTACATGTGTCAACAGGTATGGAACTTGACAAATTAATATCAAGTGAAAAAAACAGTTTGCAAGGGGAGATTTGGTATAGGATGCCATTTATAGAAGATGTTAAATACAATAGAAATGCAATATATTTTTTACTCACATATACAGCAAAATAAAAATACGGAAAAGAAAGATATATACCAATTTCAGGGTAAGAGTTACCTCCAGGAATGGAGAGAGATGAATAAGATGCCTAATAGTCTCTGTAATTTTCTGTATGCTTTAAATAGTTCATGGTTAAAAATATTTAAAAACTAAAAATCTTTTCATGCTCATACACGTATTTCACTGAATCAAATAGCTGTTTTCTCCAGTGTTGTCAACTGAGCACAGTAAAATTCTGTTTTGTTACCACCCCGTAGCCCTTTGCAAATAGTAAAATAGCTATCTTATTTATGCATCATATGTTGACTTTAGCAAGGCTACAGAGTAGAAAGCCTTTTTACTAACCTTCTCTTCAGGATAGCACAATGACAAGAAGGAACAAAAAAAATAATCAGTGCATAAAGTTTTTTTTTTTAAGTGACCTCATTCCATATTGAAGTAGTGAAAAGAAACTGAATTTCATAGAAAATTTTAAAACAAAAATTAATATGATTTTTATTTATAAAGTCTATTAAGCAGACAAAATCAAAAGAAGTTCTCTAGCCTAAACTTGTTAAACATTAAATTTATTCAGTGTTAGCTTGGCTTGTTAAAGTCTTGTTAATTTAATTTTTAAAATATTTTTCGTTTATTTGTTTATGCCAGTTGAATTCAGACTGGAACATTTCTTCATTTGAGGGAATGGCTCCGTAAACCCCTCTCATAGCCTGTAATATGTACATCAAGACTTGGGACTAGATGCATAATTAATTTCTAGGTAGTTGGAAACCTAAGAGGCCAAAAGGAAGAAAATTTAGAAGGTGAGGAAGATACCGGGTGTTCTCTATTCCAAAAATCGCTTTATCATAGAAGAGTTAATTAGGAATCACTATAATAAGAGTTTTACTCCATTCAAGTATTTTGCACTCCATTAAATTATTTAGTTTTGGAAAATCTTGGAATGATGATCCTTTGGCATAAAAATTTTAAGCAGAGTTATAAGTATTTAATCAGAAATGAAGATTAACTGCCTTTGACATTGAGGTAATTGAGCAGATTTTCCATTCTCCAAAAACTTATTTTATACATAATATTTTTCAAAATTCCCATGTCACATAAAATGAATAATATTTATATAAAATTTCCACTGTTTAAACTACTAGCTAATTAATTTTTAAAAACTACAAGCCTGATAGAATTAATGCACAATGTTAAATTATTATAATGATTCTTGTGGATGTGAATTTTTCATTTTTCTGAAGAATGATTTTGTTTGCAGGAAAGTCTGTTCAGCAATTTATCTTTGGTTTAAAAACTGCTACTCAGTTTTTTAAAGCTATAATTTCAAAAATCTAGATTTAGATTTTTCTGCTACTCAGCTTACTCTATAAAGTCTAGCAGACCTTAAATACTTTTATGGGCCTCCAAAAAAAAGTTTGGTCCCACTTATAAAGCTTAGCTAAATTAAATATCTTTAAACATTTGAAATTTATTAATAAATTTTATATATATGTTTCCTTTTAAATATTTCAGAAGGCTCAATTAGCAAACAAAACCTTGCTGAGAAATTTAATAACTCACAAATATTGACAAATTAAATTTATAAATAGGGTGGGCCATGTTAACATAAATATTCCAATACTACTTATAAATATAAAATTTAAAATCAGGTGTAAATTAATTATATATTCAATAGAAATCAGCAGCTGCCTGATATCCACTGAGCCCCTCAGTCTTTTTCTCACACTCTTACTACTATTACCAGCCTCCCAAGTGGTGATCTGAGGGCATCCCCTTTCCTTTTTCTAGCTTATGCTACCATTCTAAAAAATCTTGTTTTATTCCTTAATCTCTAGATCCTATCCCATTTCTGTGAAAAAGACAATTATTTGAGTTTGCCTACAGTGACTACTTCTGTTTCTGTTTCCCAGAATGTGATTGAATCTTTCTTCAGCTATAACCAAGAGTAGAGACTTTCTTATAACAAGACTAGACTTTCTAATTGCTTTTTGCTGGTAGTCAATGAAGATAATGAATTTTAAGAGATGACAACGCTCATAATAGTGATAAATATACTTGAAAACTTTGTTAACAGGATATGTGATTGCTTTGGTTATAGGAAGGTGGTATAGAATGATATTTTTTCACTTATCCATTTATTTTTACCAAAGGCCACAGAAGAAGAGAAAAAAAACAATTAGAAAATATCACTGAACAATGAGAAAGGAAGCAGTTAAATCATCCCTTAACATGTGGGAAAAAAGTAAGGTCTGGCCTCATATCACCTGATATGCTGCGTTCTCCTCATCTGTTAGGTGGGCTAATATCTTTTAGAATGTAGGTTCTAGAGGTAAATATATTTCAACTTCCATGCTACCTCTGATTATTTGGTAGTGCTGTCTGAGTGTAAGGCTGAAAGTAATTCTGAAGCATGTTCCAGCTCAGCATGGAAGGGTACCATATTGCAAACAATGCCTGTCACTGCCATTGAATGGGAGGCACACATGCCTTATTTGCTGTCCTCTACAGGCTTTGGAGGGCAATCTAGAAGAGTTCCAATACAGGAACAATGTGAGGATGTGTTGACAGACAACCTATATAGATGTCAGGGGGTTCTGGGAATAGCACACAACGTCTAAGATTGAAAGTGGTCATTGTCAATCAAGGTGGTTTGACAGGAAGTAATGGAGTTGCAGCTGCAGGGCCTAATGTAACCAGGCCAGACTCTAGTTCGTGAGATAGTGGTGAGAGGCAGGTGGGGCAAGGTGCCAAGACAAGGGCTTAGGAAACAAGATAAAAGCCCAGTTATTGGGTCTGAGAGATAAGCTGAGGGCTTGGTTTTGAAAAGGCAACAATCTTAGAACTATGATGAAAGGTCGGAGATGAACAGCAGTAAATGACTTGATGCTGAACTGATGAGCTACTGGCCTAGAATTATATAAAACCAAAATGAGGCAGGAGGCGAGAGAGAGTTGGCTTCAGAGGTGTGGTTTGGATTGTTACAATAACTGGAAATCCAACAGTTCTTTACCCATTCATCCTTTTGCCTTCTTACTCACACCACATCTCATTTATTAGAGCTTCTGCTCAAGCTGTGGGAACCACCACCGAAGATTTAGAGCTCTGGAAAACCTAGGTTAGAAGTCTGTGTCCTTAGTGTGTTTATTTGGGACATCATGGCACATAGAAGTAGTTAATAGTGATGTAGCACAAGCAACTGTGGATTAAAAAGCATGTCTACGGACTCACTTGTGATCGTAAGTTCCAGATAGAACTTTGTGTGGGTGGGAAACTGCTTTCACATTCTAAGCCCATGATGTTCACATCATCTATCTGTAAATGAGGAATACCTCTGTCACTCACCAGATTGCTGTCTGGACAACATACATACAGAATAGAGAAGCAGGTATATTTTTTAAATAGAAGGAGAAAACCTCGCTGCATAATCTTAAAGTCATCTAATAATTCGTGTTAGAAAACAAAGAAAACCTCATTAGTCCACCTCCACTACTTTGATTTTGTGATTGCCAATTTGGAGCAGGTTAAAGTTTGGTGGTTTTATCTATTTAAGAAAATTTGAAAAGTCAATTAAATGATAAACAAGATTTATGAGGTATACTAAATCCATTTTAAAGAGCAAGTTATTTTAACTCTTGTCCTGCAAAATCTTGTATATAAAAGAATACTGCTAATTACATACGAGTTTTCCTTATTAAAAGAGATTCAGCAAACATCTACTTCATCTTCACACATACTGAAGTTTATATTTATTCTAAAATATTTTGTTATTTAGATTTCACAGATCAAGACCGATCATCCTTATTTGGTTGTAATTAGTAAGAGTGAGAATATCTATGTGTCTGTCTGTCTAAGTGTCAAAAGGTGTTTAGGAATCACAGAGAGCTATGACTTGATCAGTGCATCCTTCCCATCCCACCAGGTTTTTACCAAGTCTTGCAAGGTCAGCGTTAGAAAAAAATCTGGCAGATTCTGCAATAGAAAGAAGTACCGATAATAACCTGGAACCAGAATTAGAGGATTACAAATGTAAGTATTTGACTTGTTTGTTTCTTAAGTGATATAATAATGATGAAACATTTGTATTATTTATTATTTTAATTTCAATTAAAATGTTTTTGGTTTCTCCTCACTTTGTTATATGT